TGACAAACTTCTGAAAGACAAACGTCTGAGAGACAAACTACTGAAAAAAAACTCCTGAAAACAAACTACTGAAAACAAACTACCAATAACAAACTACTGAAAACAAACTACTGTAAACAATAATTTGAAACAAACTACTTAAAACAAACAACATAAAACAAAGTACTGAAAATAAACTATTGAAAAAAAACTACTGAAAACAAAGTACTGAAAAACAAAGTACTGAAAAACAAAGTACTGAAAACAAAGTACTGAAAAACAAAGTACTGAAAACAAACTACAGAAAGATAATCTTCTGAAAGACAAACTACTAAAAGATTTCTGATAGACAAACTTCTGAAATTGGAACGTCTGTAAAACAAACTACTGATAGACAAACTCCTGAATGACAAACTACTGAAAGACAAACTCCTGAAAGACAAACTCCTGATAGCCAAACTACTGAAAGACAAACTACTGAAAGACAAACTACTGAAAGACAAATTTCTGAAATACAAACTACTTATATATATATATACTACATTCTACTGAAATAGAAACTTCCGAAAGACAAACTACTGAAAGACAAACTCAGCAGGAATAGGGTTAAGAACAAAAGTCTTTGAAACAATTTATTGCAATAGAATCGTGGTTTAAAGTGGTTGGTTCACGTTAATACAGGTTAGATTGAAATCTTAGATATTTTTAACCTTAACTCCTCATATTGTAGAGAGAGCGATGCAAAGAATAAAACTGTTTTGAATTGTCTAGTCTGTAACTAAATATATTTTCTCTTCTCATGCTTGGCGTAAAATTTAAGCTAAAGGAGCTACGAGGTCACAAAGTAGTACCAGTAATCTATATAATAAAACAAGACATTCGTGTAAATGTTGCATACAGCCGGAAACTCATGGATAAAAAAAATCAAATTTTATTTTTCAAATTTTTTTTTCAAAACTTTTTTCTTCATTTTTTTCCCACGGGCATCGCCGAGCCCTTCAGCCAGTATTGCATAAATTTGACCTTATCCTTCTCTCTAGCTCAGGGTGAGTGCATAAATACTAGATTCGGATAATTATCTGGTTCCTTGATTATGGTTGTCCAATGGATTAATATCATTATTATTAATTATTTTCCACTCAGTTTTAATAATCTTCGATGATTGTATTATCCCTGCTCAGTCAGATTTATTCTGTTTATTCTAGGATACTGAAGTAAATTGGGACAACACTACAACATTTATTTGATCAATAATGTGGAAGATAACGTCGTTTTTTCTAGTTTGAAAAGTATTTAATTTTGACAATTGTTATACATTGTTTTCTTGCAGTAAAAATGTAGATAAACCAGAATTAAAAATAATTAGTTTTCAAAATTTTAAAACATGATTATCTTTTTAAACTTCGGACATTCCACTTTAATATCACTTTAATATCACTTTAATATCACTTTAATATCACTTTAATATCACTTTAATATCACTTTAATATCACTTTAATGTTACTTTAATATCACTTTAATATCACTTTAATATCACTTTAATATCACTTTAATATCTCTTTAATATCACTTTTGTGTATTTAAAAAGAATTCTCACTGTAGATGAAAAAATGTTACGCGGTATAAAGATTCGTCAAAAAATCTTTATTTCAAAAAATCAGAATTTTCCGATGTACATATTTAATCTTATGTTTTTGTTTATTGCACATTTATGCACATTGCTTCAGTAATTGTACTTTTTTCATGCATGTGCCATTTTTATGCACATTGCACCATATACCCTCTACCTATATTAAATATCATCAATACTTGTCAAAATTATTTATTCTAAATCTGTTCATAACACATGCTCAGTCGGTTCCTTATGCCCTGAAAGGAATTGAAAGCGTAATTTCAAGTGACCCTCCATGTAAAGATGACAATGCTTTATTTATAAACGGTACCCTTGAAACCTTAATCTGATTCAAAATGTGGAAGATATTGTCGTTTTTCTGACTCGAAAAGTGTTTCTTTCTGTGAGTTTCTCCATTGCTTGTTTTAAGCAAGAAAGGCGCGACTCACTTTCGCAGAGAAACCGCAAATGAAATAAACAGTTTAAAGAAACAAAAACATTGATATCTGATTCATACTTGATCAGACAAAGCTTTAAAGGATACCGTTGTGTAAATCGGGCATTGCCATCTTTGCATGGAGCGTCACTTAAAATTACACTTACAGTCCCTTTATGGGTTGATATTCACTATATTCCGGGACTTACACTTTAATTCTTCAATTTAAAAGTTTCCACTACTGAGGATATCGCGTTTAGCCGAAGTGTCTCAGCGCTATCTCAATCATAAGTTTAAGCCTCGTATTTCTATTTAAATAGTCTTTTTTAAAACATTCTCATATTTCTCGATAATTATTAAAATTTTTATGATTAAAAATCAAATAAGAAATCCCAGTGTGTATACATGGTTTCCCACAAAGGATGAGACTTCAGAGACGACTGTACAAAACAATTTTTTGCCAAATCAACAGTTATATGATTTATAAATATATTTAAGGCAGAAAACAAGATGCAAGTGTATGTTAGATTAAACTGATTTTAAATCTGTCCTAAACTCTCGCCCTAGTGTGTATACAGGGTTACCCACAAAGGATGAGACTTCAGAGACGACTGTACCAAACAAATTTTTTCTCAAAACTGAAACTGCAAACTTGCAAACTTTCCTAAATCATCTGTTATAAGATTAAAAATTTATTCTAGAAATACAAACTTCAAGTACTATCTAATGAATTGATACAGTTTTAGATCATCACTGAAGTATCATCCTTTGCAGATAACCCTGTATTCTACATACACAAAGTAGTAATCTCTGTTTGTTTGGATGTCCTATATATAGCATAACTCATAAAACCCTGGACCGGTTTGCCTCAAATTTTGATTGAGAAATGTTCCAACCTTGCCGTTTTAAAAAATAAAATCGATAAAAAAATAATAAGAATAAAAATTTATTTTCAAAATATTAGATATCAACATAAATTACAAAAAAAACTAGTTTGTTGCTAGAATTTATTAGATACTTATATATTCATTATTTATAGATGTATTCAACAAATTATGATAATAATAATTATAAAAACCAGTCAACAATCATTCCGCGGAAATCAAGGCCGAGCCTTCACCAAATATCCGTCAGAAATTATATTATTAAGCCGTGTGTCAACTTAACACAAATAAAAATACATTATAAATATGTGAAAAATTCCGAAAGATATCAAGACATGAATGGTTTTAGCTCAGAACAACTTTTTAAAAACAAAGAATTTAAACAAAATATAAAGTTTTTTTTGAACACACTATAGGGCCTAATCCTTTAATAAGAGACAGTTAAATATTTTACGGGAAAGGTTTTGTTCACATTTCCTAAAGTACAATGCTAAAACAATTTGATGCTTGTTATTAGAAACATACATCAATGGATACAAAGAAATAATTCATCTTTGTAAAGATAAAGATCGGATAAAGGTTTAAAGGGTTCCATTGTAAACTGTTAAAGGCAATATTAAATAAATATTTCATTTAAAACTAAGTTACTTATTATCTAAATGCATCTTAAACTTTTTATGTTGAAAAGAATAATCAATATTACAATTATAGTTTAAAATTACATATATTATATTGTTCATATAGATTTCATAATTCTTGCTGAAAAAGATGAAAATTTTAAGATATCTTTTTCGACACAAATCATTGAATTGAATTTCATAAGTATAACAAATATACAGTCATAACCAAAAAGACTCGGAATCAAACAACTTTACATATTTATCTCTGGTAATCTTAAACGCACAATAAAGGCAGACCACATTTTGGAATTGGCAGTACTTGGGCTATTTTGTTATAATCGCTTCATTAATAATATTTTTAAAAGTAGATTGTAAATTCGTCTATTATATAAACTATATAAACTATATCCTGGATATTTCTGATTAGAACTTTATTTTGAACTGCAATGTTTAAAACAATCAGCGCTGAAGGTTTTATTTTATGGCCATATTTTTATTCGTTTTTAAACATTCAAGTTTATTGAATTTGAAAAGTTTTATTTTATTTTTTGTGTGCAAAATGCTGACTCACGTAGCAAATATAGGCCTAAAGTATTTGTTAAGTCATTTTTTCTTTGTTCAGAGGCTTTTGTAATATTCTGTCAAATATTATAAGGTCTCATGATATAGAGCCTCTAAAGGAAGAAGAAAGAACTAGTCCGCAGAGAAAAAAGATAAAGTATACTAGGCTATAAATTATACAACACTAAATTCAAGATTTGGAATATTTAAAAGTTTTCTTAAATGTACAGAAATTACAAAAATATATTTGTTGCATGCATACACAGAATGCTTTGGAAAAGTTTTTTTTAAATCTTAGCGAAATATACAAAAAAATTCAAATCATAGAACATTTATGATTAAAAAAGTTTTAAAATCAAGAAAAAACACTTATGATAAAAAAGGGTTTTTAAGGAAACTTATTAAAATATAAATTATTAGAACTTTATTAGATCTTAAAATGAAAAGCGGGAAGAATTCAAATTTTAAAATTACAATGGAAACGACCAATTAAATGTTCAGTTCGAGTTTTGGGCGGAGTCAGAAGCAAGAATTGAGCGCTGTCCTCCCTTTCTCTCAATTTTATTCTCATCATTTTTCCTCTCTCGGAGATATCGTTTAATAGATCACAAAACCTGCTCCAGGTACTGCTTAGAGCAGAGAGCTCAGAGTGGTCAACCACCTTCCCTTTAAACACTGAGAGAAAACTACGAAAAATCCGCCAATCAAACTTAATCATGGTTTCTCACAAACTTAAATCCATCCTGCTGTGCTTGCTAATATACAAAAGACCCCTCCTGGTCTCCTATTGGCTGGAGGAATGAGGACGGCCTGCTATTGGCTGGGAGTGTATGATGGGAGGAGCTACGGTAGGACTGAAACCACTGCTCCGGAGCAAGGAGCTGGACGGAGTGAAGCGGGCATCTTGCCAAGGGTCTAAGTTGTAAACTGCTCAGTCGGCAGATCTACAGTTTGGCAGAAGCAGACTCAGCATACTCAGCATACAACACTGCTCTGCTGACCCAGGGAATCCATACAACTGGCAGAGTGTATAGACATCAGCAAACTTGAAAACTGCATTACCAGGCACTTTCTTGGTTGGAAAACTGGCGACTCATCAATTAGATAGTGGTATGGGGCAGCAGGGAGGAGGGGGAGGGGGAGGGGATAGGTTGGTTTCAATCATGCAACCAGGGGAGAGCTTGTACATTGAAGATTTTAACTTGGATACTCTACAAATGAACACACAGCTGATATTACCGGATATGGAACCCTTGAGAATAAACCGGCGAGGGATGAATTCTCCATCTCAACTCCACAACCTCATGCCGGCGAACCATGGGATGGTTTCCGGTCATCTTTCAGACCTGGACACTTTGCGCAATATTCCTCACAGCCTTTCAAACTCAATGATGTCATCTCCACCCACCCACCACACCCTCACAAATATGAAATATCCGGGAACGCCCCCTGACACGCCCCCTGGAAGTTCTCCCTCCCCGCCCTATCACACCCTGACCACCTCCATGTCCTCCCCCTCCACCATCAACGTGGAGGTGTCGGAGATCCTCTGGAAGAATTACCAGGACCAGCCAATAGATCTCCGGGGACAATGTGAACTAGGACGGGACGAACTCCAGGAGAAATGGTTAAGTAGTCTGGACTACTCCGGAGATGAGTCTGGACTACGACAGCAGCTGGGGATGGTCTCCAACCTACCACCAGCTCCGAAGTTGGACGCTAATGGTGTTGTAGTGGACGATGAACAGGTTGTAAGTAACTTTCCATAATTCTATTCTTTAATAAGTCAGTCAGTTAGGGGAAAGTCTAAAGAGCTCTTTTATCATTTTTTTTAGTAATAAGTTATTTCTAGTTTAAAATTTAGTTTAGTTATGTTCAACTTTATATCTCTAAGAAATATTTTGGGCTTCACATATTTTAGCATGATTTAGTTTATTTCAAGTTCATGTGAATATATATGTAAATTATTTTTTTTTAAATGAATTGGGTCTTTGCTCAAATTTTCTAATTCCTAAATGTTTGCAATTTAATGGTGTAAACCTTTGATATTTCAAACTTAGATTATTTGATCTTTTAGAATTCCTTGTTTAAAATATCTTTATCTACGAAATTGGATGTGAGTGTTAAAAAATCAGAGTTTGTGTCAAAGACTCAATTCCTTTGCTGAGCAAACTGAATATTTTTCAATTTTATTTAAATTTCTCTAAAAATATTTCAGTCAATTTTTAGAAATCACCTTTTATTATAGAGTAATGATCCAAAAATGGATTATCTTAAGTTATTTTCCCCAGCATCGTATCATTTTAAATCAAATTTTCAAAATTTTAATTTTTTTCTGGCTCACGTTCCTTAATAAGTTGAATATTTAATAGAGAGAATAAAGTTAAGATAATTGTTTAAATTTTCTGATTCTTAGAGTTTAATATTTTCAGCTGGTAATCGTTTAAAGTTTCTGATTCTTAGAGTTTACTATTTTCAGCTGGTGAACCTGAGTGTGCGTGAGCTGAACAAGAGGTTGCATGGATATCCTCGTGACGAAGTTGTCAAGCTCAAACAGAAGCGGAGAACATTGAAGAACCGAGGCTACGCGCAGAACTGCAGATCCAAGCGTATGCTGGTGAGACGCGACCTAGAGGTGAACAACGAGCAGTTGATTAATGAGAACCATAGGATGAGGATAGAGCTGGAGAGGGTGACGAGGGACAGAGATATGGTGATGAGGGAGAGGGAGATGCTCAGGAGCAGGCTGGCGGAGTACGAGAGACATCGATCCAATCTTAACCACAGGGTTCAGGAGGACATCAACAAGAACAACCTGGAGAACATGAACAAGATGGCGCAGTATACAGGGCTCTGACAGGGTGATCGGGCCGCTCATGACGGCTCTTACAGATCCTGCGCTTTAGGCTACTATAGAGAGAAATAAAATGGCCACCTTGCTCATGCGGAACAAAAACAAAAAGTTCCTAAACCATTGATCTAAAAATATAAAATAGATTTAATATGGTGTAATATGTGTGTGTACAACATAAAAAAATCTGCAGAACGTACAACTGGATGTTTTTAGAAAATTTGAGAAATGTGAAAAGTGATATTCGAGATGATGTTTGAAGAAAAATAAGTGTTATCAGCGACATCTTCAAATGTGTTTTGGAAGTAATCTTGGTTTCAATTTACCAATCTACTCCCAACTATGGTTTCAATTTACCAATATACTCCCAATTCTGGTTTCAATTTACAAAACTGATCCCAACTATGATTTAAATCTCCCAAACAACTCCGAACCTAGAAAAAAGATCTTGATTAAAAAATCTTTGAAACAAATCAGCTCCGGGTTAAATAGAAAGATAGATAGATATTCAATAGAAAGATAGATAGATATTCAATAGAAAGATAGATAGATATTCAATAGAAATGAAGGCCAATTTTACGTAGAAAGGTAGAAAATATTTGAATAGAAAGATTTATAAAATTATAGATTGAATAAAAAGATAGTTTAATATTAAGAGAATTATATGCATAATGTCAAGTGATCCTTCATTTATAGACAATGACATATCCGATTAAAGGGAGTGGTCTGCTTATGTAAGGTGGTTGAACTGAGTATGCAGTGTTGTGGAAAACTTCTTTCGGATTCATTTGAGACATATTAAACTTTTTAAAGATCTGTAAATCCTGAGTTTGAGCGCAAATTCGACGAAGTGCAAGAAATACAAATATATTTTGTTTCAGTTAGACTTCAAAACATTTTTTTTCTCAATAGCTCTTCAATAAGGTTGTCTGCGGCGGGAAAGGGAAATAAAATCAGATAAAGAAAGGTGAAATTTGACCAGCAATGGAGATATGTTTTTATTAATCAGTTCTACGGAACTAAGAATGTTGGTTTATAATTTAAAAAAAGATGCAAATATGTTGAAATAGCGAAAAAAAAAATCATATTTACTTTATATTTCATCCTTTTTTTTTTCTTTAACAATAAAGTAATTGAGTAAATCAGAAGAAGAAATCGTACAATTTGAACAAAACCAAAAGTTAAAATCATAATAATTGAAAAAATCGATATTTTCTGAAGTTCTAGATCTGCGAAATTGGAAAAATTGGATTTCTCCCTATCTCAACCAGCATTGATAAATTTAACGATTTTCTGCATCATTCAACCCCCCCCCTTCTCCTCCTACCTTCTATTTTCTATATACCCCCCACTCCTCCTGCCTTCTATATTCTATATTCCCCCCTCCCATATATCCTATATAACCTTATGTAGGAAAGATCAGTAGATTAAACATTGTCCAATCTACGAAAAGGGTTTTTACTCTAGAATAAGAATTTGGAAACAATTTGGAAATTAATCCGTTTATTCAGATGGGATGTTTCAATTTTCTTTTTTATTATCGGAGCCTTTTTATTATCGACTGATAGGGACTTTCAACATAATTTTAAGTAAATCTTTTAGTAAAGATTTACAAGGTGGATTCACAACTTAACTCTTTAAACTTTAACTGAGCAAAGGAATTGAGTCTTCGCCACAAATTCTGATTTTCTAATTTCTTTATCTTTTCAACTTAAATGACGTAGACCTTAGATATTTCAAACTGTAAATTAGATCGAATAATCAAGGGTTGACATATCAAAGGTTAACCCGACTAGGTTGGAAAGATACACATGATGGGATAAGAACATTTGAGATTGTGGCAAAGACTTAACTCCTTTATGAATTAAATTGAGAGAATTTATCTCTTATTAGGATAGAAAACAACGATATCTTCTTTACTGCTGCTCAACTATATATTTCTTGCTACTGCTCAAATAATTCTTAAATAAGAATAACAAAAACAAGTCTTTCAATGGAATTTGATAGAATACACCAAATTAATTGGATTAGAAAGTTGGATTTTAAGTTCTAATGAAACTTTGTTTTTTTTAAACTTTTTTTTCTATAATTTTACTAATTTTATAAAAAAGAAGGGTCTTATAACCATTAAAATAATACAATTTTTTTTTTCTGTAATTTCCTTATGAAAAAAAATAACTTATGATTTATTTTAATATAAATTTTATTTTCGTTATAAAAAGTCATTAATTATAATTATTGAAAATGTAAAACCACAATGTATGTAACAAATGCATCAGTAAAGAATTTAAATATAAAATTTTTATAAAAATTCATATTTTTGTTTTGTTGGATTGCACTGAATGCATTGTCTACTGTCTGGAGAATGATTTGAGAAATTTATTTTAAAAATGAAAACAAGAATATTTAAAAAGATTAAGATACATTTTATAATTAAATAATGAAAACTATAGTATTTTTTTATATTGAATTATAAAAAATTGAATTGAATTATGTATGTATGTATGTAAGGGTGTAAGTATGTAAGTAAGGGTGTATGTGTATGTATATGCGGGAATCTTTGATTCGAATCTATTTTCTAATTAATATTTATTTTAAATCAATCAAACCTTGGAATGCATACAAGAACTCCCCTGCTCATCTACCCATCTATCTATCTATCTAACTATCTATCTATCTATCTCCTGTATATCTGTGGTATCGGAAAGGTATGCGGGATATACGGAGCCGATGACAAGATGAACCTTCTACTCCGCCCTTTTTATCATCTCAACCCTCTCAACCCTCTCGATCATCCCCGCCCTCTGAATCTTCTCCGCCTTTTTAATCCTCTCAATCCTATAAATTCAATAATAATTAAGTCTCTTAATCCGCTCAATCCTTTTCGCCCTCTAAATTATTTCCGTCGTCTAAATACTCTACTCACCCTTAATAGTGACTTGCTCAACCGTCTCCGCCCATAGATAAATAAATAAACATAGATAGCTTGTGTACGCAAAATCACCAAGAATTGTACAGTCCGCGAACTCATACTTCTAGGGGTCAAAGTGTACTTCAATGATAGCGGGGTGGTTTGGTGTTTTAATGGATTTCATAACAATATTTCACTGAGCAATATATTATATTGACGAGAACTGAAGAAGGACATGAGAAGGACTAAACTAACTTAAATTTCTCTCTACAGAACTTATGTACACCACAAGTACTCAATGACATAAGAACAGCCAATGTTCACAACCGACCTAGTTAATCTATATAATAGGAATATTTTTAAAACATCTCAGAGCCCATTCTCTCCATAGAAAGTGGTCGTGTATTTCACGTACTTTGGGTGACAATATGTTGGCCGCTAAATGTTTCGTGCTAAATTCTTATCTGATAGATAGATATTTCTCCGTAAATTTGACGACCAATATAGGATACGTCAAGTTGTCGACCAATGTAATTTATGGAAGGAACGGCCTCTGTACAATTATATCTTTCAAGATGAAAAATGTCGTCTTATGCGCAATCTATCTTTATCTATGTCTCCGCCTCTCTCATCCTTTCCGACCTCGAACTCCTAATTTATTCCGCCGCTCCGACTTTTCATCTATTCCATCCTGCTCCCTGTATCTCTCAGCTCCAGTTTACTCCATCCTCTTCCATCCATCCTTCTACCTGTATCTCTCAGCTCCAGTTTACTCCATCCTCTTCCATCCATCTTTCCACCTGTATCTCTCAGCTCCAATTTACTCCATCCTCTTCCATCCATCCTTCTCCTTGTATCTATCATCTCAAGTTTTCCCTAACCTCTTCCATCCATCCTTCTCCCCGTATCTCTCAGCTCCAGTTTACTTCATCCTCATCCATCCATCTTTCTCCCTGTATCTATCATCTCCAGTTTTCCCTAACCTCTTCCATCCATCCTTCTCCCCGTATCTCTCAGCTCCAGTTTACTTCATCCTCTTCCATCCATCTTTCTCCCTGTATCTTTCAGCTCCAGTTTACTTCATCCTGATCCATCCACCCTTCCACCTGTATCTCTCAGCTCCAGTTTACTCCATCCTCTTCCATCCATCCTTCTCCCTGTATCTCTCAGCTCCAGTTTACTCCATCCTGATCCATCCGCCCTTCCACTTGTATCTCTCAGCCCAAGCTTTACTCCATCCTCTTCCATTCATCCTTTTCCCCGTATCTCTCACCACAAACTTTACTCTCTCCTGTTCCATCCATCCTTCTCCCCGTATCTCTCACCATTTTACTCCATCCTGTTCCATCCATCCTTCCCCTGTATCTCTCAGCACAAACTTTAATCCATCCTGTTCCATCCATCCTTCTCCCCGTATATTGTTCTCAACTCCATTTTACTTCACCCTCTTTCATCCGTCCTTCTCCCCGTACCGCTCAGCTCCAATTTAATCCATCCATTCTGCTCCCCATATATCTTTGCTCCAGTTTTGTCCATCCTGTTACATCCACCCTTCTCCCCGTATATAACTTAGCGCCAGTTTACTCCATCCTGGTCCATCCATTCTTCTCCCGTATTTCTCAGCTCCAGTTTATTCTATCCTGTTCCATCTAACCTTCTCCCCGTATCTCCAGGTCCGCCCCTGATCAGGGTTTGGATTGCGTCTACTAGACTGGAGAAGATAAAGATTGAAGGTTCTCACACCTCCATCTTTAAACGATAATCAATCTCCTGAATAGACACCGCGGTAGTATTCCCCTCCTAGAGGAGAGGGAGTTTTATCTCAACCTGTCTCAAGGTCTCCTCATTCTATCTCTAGGAGCTGCATATCGAGTTCTTGTTTTTGATGCTGTTTTCGATCATGTTTTTTTACTTTCTGTAGTTCCCTGTTAGTTGTTTAATTAATTCTGTGTTTGAAGATTTCTATTTCTGGTTAGACATCTTGGTCTATTTTTACTCTTGTCTACTTTAGACTGCTATTGTAGCTGTTGTCCGTTAGTGTTTCTTAATACTGTTGTCTGTTTACTAGTACTGTCTCTGTTTCCTACTTCTGTTTCTGTTTCTTACTATTGTTGTCTGTATCAAACTTTTGTTGTCTGTTTCCTAAGGATGTTGTTCTTTTTCCACTATTGTTGTTGTATTTTTTTAA